GTAAATTTTCGTCATTTCCATAAATTTTTCTAATATTTCCACCGATATCTTGATATTTTCTCCAATATTTCCTGAAGTTTTCTCAGGGCCAGAAGTAGGGTTTAGGAGGAATATAATTCTTATTCACCTTAGAGAAATACACTATACAGCTGAATATATATACAGGTTTTAGGGATAACCACAGCCCGGTTTAGCCCGTTATTTTCAGTACCCTAGATAACAAAATTAGTAACTACTTATCTAGTAATTAGAGAGAAATCATGAAACTAATCAAATAAGGAAAAAATACAGCTGTACAAATCAGCCCTAATTACACCGGTTTTCCACACTCCCCCTCCAGCTGGAGAATATATGTCAATCATTCCCAGCTTGGATAATAGGTGTGTAGACAATTTCAACAATCCCATCCTCTATCTTCTCTTTGATAAAGTGACGGTCTATTTCCACATGCTTGGTACGATAATGAAGGACTGGATTCTTCGAAATACTAATGGCTGCCTGATTGTCACACAACAGCTTCATAGGAGTCTTGACTGGAAGTTGTAGTTCCTCTAGGAGTCTTTTTAGCCACATTCCTTCACAAATTCCGAGAGCTAGGGCTCTAAACTCAGCTTCAGCACTACTCCGAGCGACTACTGATTGTTTTTTGCTCCTCCAGCTGACTAGATTTCCCCATACAAATGAACAATATCCAAAAGTTGATCGCCTATCAGTCAAAGACCCTACCCAATCTGCATCTGACAAAACCTCTATTCCCCTGTTGGTTCCTTTCCTGAAGAATAGACCTTTGCCAGGAGACATCTTCAAGTACCTCAGAATCCTGTACACTGCTTTTTGATGTTCTTCATTCGGACTGTTCATGAACTGACTAATCGTGCTAACTGCAAAGCTGATGTCTAGTCTTGTGTGAGACAGGTAGATTAGCTTACCCACTAACCTTTAATATCTTCCTTTATCTATTGGACCTGAATCTCCTTTAGTCCCAATTTTGTTGAAAGGGTCCATAGGAGTGTCTGAAGGCTTGCAGCCAAGCATGCCTGTTTCTTTTAGTAAGTCCAGCATGTATTTCCTCTGCGAGATTGAAATTCCTTTGCTAAACCGTGCTACTTCCATTCCAAGAAAGTATCTTAGAGCTCCAATATCTTTGATTTCAAACTCCCGACTCAAGATCCCCTTTAGCCGAGCAATTTCTACCTCATTATCTCCAGTAACAATTATATCATCGATATAGACAATAAGGATCGTAATCTTACCATCTGAAGTCCTCTTAATGAACAATGTGGTCTGATTGTCCCTGCAAATATCCCTGCTCCTTAACTGCCTTGGTGAACCTGTCAAACCAAGCTTATGGCGATTGCTTAAGACCATATAGTGACTTCAGAAGTCTACACACCTGTTTGCCGCCACTTAATTGCTTGAGCCCAGGTGGGATCTCCATATATACTTTCTTTTCCATATCACCATTGAGGAATGCATTTTTAACATCAAACTGATGCAAGTTCCAGTCAAGATTGACGGTTAAAGAAAGTAGTACTCTGATGGTATTCATCTTTGCCACTGGAGCAAATGTTTCCTGATAATCAATCCCGTAAGTCTGTGTGAAGCCCTTTGCCACAAGTCTTGCCTTGTACCTATCAATACTCCCATCTGCTTTGTATTTAACAGTGAAAACCCACTTACAGCCTACTGCTTGTTTTCCCTGAGGGAGATGAGTAAGCTCCCATGTGCTGTTCTTCTGCAAGGCTCTTAGCTCCTCATTAACCGCTTGTCTCCATTCTAGATGTAGTAGTGCCTCTTGAATATCCTTTGGTATTTGGATGCTGTCTAGACTCGTGGTGAAAGCCCTGTAACTCAAAGATAGTTTCTCATAGGACACAAAGTATGAAATTGAATGTTGGGTGCACGATCTAACTCTTTTCCTTTGAGCAATTGGCTTAGTAAGATCATCAGATACGCACAAATCATTAGGATAGGAGTCGGATTCAGTGTTACCTTGTATTCCTTCACTTGGAGTTGAACTCGAATTGTCTGCTTGGCAAGGCGTGAGAATCTCAAGATGCTCAACCGGTTTAGGGTTCTTCTTCCGCCTGGTGTAGAGAAAGGGTGATATCACTCATGGGATCTTCTAACATCAGGCTATCCCAAAACTAATATTCTTGTATTTTCTCCCCCTGAATAGCAGTTTTGGAATAAAATGGGGCACTCTCCATGAAAGTCACATCCATAGTGATATATGTCTTTCTAGTGGATGGACAATAGCACTTGTAACTTTTATGATGAGGGGAGTACCCTAGGAACACACACTTACGAGACTTGAAATCAAGTTTGCTACGTTGATGAGGAGGAATATGGACATAGGCTGAACATCCGAACACTTTGAGTAGTATAGTGTTCACCACTCGGCTTTGAGGGAAGATTTTAAGGAGTACTTGGCAAGGTGTACTAAACTTCAAGATTCGAGATGGCATCCTATTAATTAGATACATAGCAGTTAAAACTGCTTCCCCCCAAAAATGTTTTGGAACATTACTAGCAAATAGGATAGAATGGGCTACCTCAAGAAGATGTATGTTCTTCCTTTCTACTATTCCATTTTGTTGAGGTGTATCTGTACATGTACTTTAATGAATAATGCCATTCTCGAGAAGGTAGGGTCCTAGGATTGAATTGAAATATTCCCGAGCATTGTCGGTTCGAAAGACTTGAACAGTGGCTTGAAACTGATTTTTAATCATTGAGTGGAAGGTTCTAAACAAAGGTCCAGCTTCTGATTTTTCTTTCATAAGGAATACCCAAGTAGCTCGAGTGTGATCATCAATAAAGGATACAAACCATCTTACACCAGTTATATTTGGAATCCGAGATGGTCCCCAAATATCATTGTGTATGACTGAGAAAGGATGAGAAGGTTTGCACCCTTGAATAGGGTATGTACTACGACAATGCTTCGAAAACTGACACACTTCACATTGGAAAAATTTTGGATTTTTATTGATAAATAATGAAGGGAACATTTTTGCCAAGTACATGAAATTTGGGTGTCCTAAACGAAAATGCAGTAACCTAATGCTACTGTCTTGATTGGAATCGAAAAACACAGAAGGGTCTGAATCTTGAACTGAGGAGGACGTGGAGTGATGAGCCAGAGAATAAGAATGAGCCTTGTCCCTAATCCAGTAGAGTCTCTGATCTTCCTTAGCATTGCCAATCATCTTCCCCGAGTCCAAATCCTGAAATAAACATGAAGTGGGAGAAAACTTAGCAACACATTTAGAATCCTTAGTTAGCTTGCTAACAGATAACAAATTGCAAGTTAATTTGGGAACCAAAAGAACGGACTGAAGAGTTAATGTATTAGACATGACCACTTTTCCAATTCCTGATACTAGGGAAAGTGATCCATCAGCAATCCAGACTTTATAATCTTTAAGGCAAGGATAACACTCTTGAAATAATGAAGCATCACCAATCACATGGTCTGAGGCTCCTGAATCAACAATCCACCCAGCGGAATCCTAGGTTTTGACATGATGAGTGGCTGAAAAAATACCTTTCTGGGCAGCAGATCCCGTGGAGATAGTTGGGGCAATATTGGCATCTGGTTGAACATCTTCTGCAGCCATTCAATTTGCTCCTTGCTAAAGAGGTTTGGTTCCGAGCTTGACGGATTTTCCTTGTCTTCGGGGGCAGCAACAAAGCTTCGGGCTTCCCTTTCTCGACTTGGCTTCCAATCAGCGGGCTTACCATGAATTTTCCAGCAAGTGTCTTGAGTATGACCTGTTTTCCTACAGTGGTCACACCAAGACCGAGTTTTCTTCTGTTTTGTGTCGTGGGCTGCATTGATTCCTCTTGCTGCAAGGGCCGAGGCTTCGGTTCCTGTGGGCAGTGAGCTTCCTAGCATAAGTTTCTTCCTACTCTCCTCTCTCCCCCCCCTTCATCAAGGGATTTGTCAAGCCCTAGAAGAAACTTGAAAACTCTCTCGTTCTCTATAATTTTCTTATATAGAGTTGCATCTCCAGGACATTCCCATGCCGAACTATCAAACATATCCAATTGTCTCCAATACTGTGTGAGACAATTATAGTATTGAGTGACTTTTAACTCACCTTGTCGTAAATCATGAAGTGCCCCCTTGATCTCGAATAATTCAGCAGTGTTTTCGTTATCGGAGTAAGTCTCTTGAGCAGCCATCCATATTTCATGTGCAGTGTCGTAGAACAGAAAATTCTTCCCTATATCTGTGTCCACGGTGTTGACTAGCCAAGACATCACCATATTATTTTCTGCTTTCCAGATCTTATACTTGGGGTCATTCGGTTTGGGTGGAACAGCCACACCCGTAAGGTAATCGTCCTTCCCTTTACCTGAGATGAACATAATCACTGACTTGGCCCATTGGAGATAATTCTGACCATTCAACTTGTGTTGTGTGATAAGGAGTGAGCCCTCTGATCGTCCAGCATTCACACAGTCCTGACCAGCCATGGCTCCTGAGGTGCTGTCAGTTTCTGACGCCATATGATGGGTGATGGGTTAGGGTTTTTCTCGGTTGATGACAGTAACCGAAGCTAGGGTTATGGCTTGAAATATTTCTCCTAAACCCGGATTAGCAGCCTTGCTCTGATACCATGAAGTTTTCTCGAGGCCGGAATTAGGGTTTAGGAGGAATATAATTCTTATTCACCTTAGAAAAATAGACTATACAGCCAAATATATATACAGGTTTTAGGGATAACCACAGCCCGGTTTAGCCCCTTATTTTCAGTACCCTAGATAACAAAATTGGTAACTACTTATCTAGTAATTAGAGAGAAATCAGGAAACTAATCAAATAAGAAAAAAATACAGCTGCACAAATCAGCCCTAATTACACCGGTTTTCCACATTTCCGTAAAACAAGAGTACCGATATTTCTACCTATACTGATATTTTCATCCTTGGTCATAACCAGCTTGGAGGTATAGACAATATGTAGCAGAAGCTTATAGGTTGAAATGTACCTGTGCCACATCTTTGGAGAACCCTTCTTGAAGTAGTGCGTTAATAATATGCCGCTTTGAGGAGACCTTCATTGAAAAAAGAAACACGAGTTAAAATATGTCCATAAAAAAGGAGGAAAATACTTTAACCATCTAAGATAAATTACATGCCAAAAAGAAGCCATAGCATAACAAAATAAGAAATAGAGAAACAAACTATCAAAGCAACGTTAAAAAGTAAATATGATATTAGGTGCAAGCATGGGTGAAAGTGCTTCAACAAATTTACTACTAGTAGAGCAAAGAGGAAATTACATGTTCTGTTTTGAAAGGGCAACAATTGCCAAAAGAGAGGAGAATACAAAGACAAGGTTTAAGCAGTGACTAACAAATCACCTCTTTTGGTAGTTTACTTAGAAAAGATATTAGTTCTGCTGGATGGTCCTCCCCATCTCCACCAGGTCGAACTTTTCCAGGAGTCGCATCTAGAACCCAGACCTAAGAATAATTTACAGGAGGGAAAAAAATATGAGCACAAACATAATCACCAACAGTTTGATAATACATTCAGAAAATTAGTTTCTGCCATGATTCAAAAGCCTTGATGTAATGCAATTTCACTTTTTAAAACGTCTATTTACCTTCATTTTGGCAAGTCAATGTTCTAAACCGGGTTCCATACAAAAGACATTTTATCAAGGGTTCAGAATCGAGGACAATGATAAACTGAGAAACTAACATTGAACACCCCCAAACACACATACATTCATGAATGTTTATGGGCACACGTGTTCTAGAAACTCAGCAGATTATGCCAAGGCCAGAATCAAATTCCATGTCAACAATATCAGACAGCAAGAAACTTACTCTGACAGGTCTTGCAAGAGGCTTAGCGGCTTGTTCCACCATGCTTAAAACAACTACAAACAAAAATATAATATAAAAGTAAGCACCAGTATCACTCAAAACACAATTAATGCATTTCTCAAGAACCAAGCACAAGTTCGTGACATTAAAATAACTACAAAAATAAACCTTAAGATACCTTTTCCACCAAAACTGTGGCCAACAAGGACACGAGGTGTTATTCTCAACTGTCGAACCTAGATAGAAGAAAGAAAGAAACTTATTTCTCTCTTTTGTCAGAGGGAAAACAAAATAAAAATGTGAGAGGAAAAATTGCATGCATAACTCCTATTTTAGATCCTCAAACATCATAAACTGTAATTCACATGTGCAACCTCCAATATTAGAAGTGGAAGGTAGTTGTGTTGTTAGTTAGGATTGACAAAACCAAGCAGCCATACATGATGTAGAGTGTAAACAAAACTACAACAGTAAACAGTAAATAAACACGTACTAGCTTTAAGACATCAAGAGCAGTGGACGCAACAGTATGCGGACCTCTCTTCGTCATTGAAGCGGAATCACCATGGCATCGCAGGTCTACTAAGAGAAACTGTCAAAAAAGAAAAAAATGGAACCAAGTATGACTCTTGGTGTCAACAACAAAATGCTTTATGGAACTCTTTAAGCTGCATTGCAGAATACCTGCCATGTTGGAAACTCTTGAGCCAATCTCTGAGCAAAGGTTCCTAGAAAAAGAATATAATGAAAAAGACTCGTAAAGTGTTTAAACTGAAATAAAGATACTTATACCAGCAAGCATAATATTATAGGAATTTTTAATGGCAATAAATGCTGTCATAGTTGACAAAAGAACTAAACGTCCCACATGGAAAAAGAGTACATAACTACATAAGGAAGGTGTCTACAATCGCAACAGGGGACAAAAAAGAAATGAGTGTTTATTTGATGACATATTCAACAAATGTAAATGCAAAATAGAAATGAGTCTTTAATTGATGTCATATTTGATATTGCAATTACAAATAGGAAGCGACGGGATACGAAGAGAAAAGACTAGCACCGAATGACAACATATCAAGTCATTTGACTAATATTTATCCCATCTGATTGAGGACAATTTCTGAGAAAACAAGTACCAATCTGGTATGGAGTTTCAGAAGTGTCAAGTGCCTACCCCAGTTCTTTCGGCTACCTAAAATGCCATGAAGAAAAACAGCTGTTGGTGGATCAGGCAACGATCTATCCGCTACAGAACTCCATCTAACCTGCGGATAAAATTGTCTATGCTCAGACTTGCACCCATTGACAAGAGACTAATTTTCCGTCTTTCTCAACCACATATTCAGTTATATATTCCCATATTTAATTATAGTTTCATCATGCTTTGTTATTGATACTACAAAAAATTTTAGTCAAAAGAGGATTGAAGAAATTTCTTAATTCTTAACAAATTAGTAAATTTGATGCTCAATAACATCCACATCAATAAAAAATAAAAATATGAATCAACATGTCGGTGCTATATTAAGCCACAGTAAGCGCCTGATGTCATTTCCAAGTTCAGAACTTGAAAAATATCAAATGCACCTAAAAGATAAATCCCTAACAGAATTTAGGGACACGCACAATACAGGAGGACAGAGATCTAGTTCAGATAGCAAATGAACCACGAAAATTTTCAAAACCAATGCAGAACTAAAAGAGGAGATAAAGACTCACGAGTGCTCCTTGAACAAGATCGTAAGCCTGCAAAAGAAACATCACAAAAATCAGTCAAATGACTCGAAATTTTTCTAAGCTTAAATTATTCTCGAACAATTTTAGCCATTGAAACTCCATTACAAGTATTTCAGGAGGCTTTGCCACATCTTTGGTGCGTGCAAGCCTCTCATCTACTAATGCCATGCGAACAATATGGTCTTTATCCATCCTCCTCGAACGGCCACGAGCTAACCAAGAGCCACGACATGCATCACTCTACCACAAGAAACAAGGTTAAAAAGAGAATGAGAAATAGTTAAAACAACTAACATTTATCTAACATCTAATTCCATTATTATTTATCACTAGTGGTTCATATGAGAACAAAACTAGTTTGGTTATACAACATTAAAGAATCATTGGCCGTGTTTGGAATTGATCTCGTTTTTTTTACGTTTTTCGAGAAAGAAAAAATGAAAACATTTTTAAAACGGCATTTAGCGCAATAAAGATAAAAAATAGAAATGAAAATGATTTTTTTAGTTTATTATAAAATGAGAGAGAAATGAAAAATGACTTAGTCGTTTTTCATTTTTTGTTTTTGTTTTCTCCTTTCTCGAGCAAAGAGAGACATTAATGGATTTTTTTATACTGAAAATAATCTTGATAAAACTACCAAATGTATTTTCAAAAATGATTTCTGTCTGAGATTAAAAACGTTTTCATTTTCATTTTTATACAAAAAATAAAATCATTTTAGAACGAGTTATAAATGCGTCTATTGTTTCTCCCCCAAATTTTGAGGGAGCCAAGGTAAGCAAGAAACTTACATGTGCTTCTTTCGTCTTCCATAATCGACTTCTTTTGTCTTCTGTTTGCACTAATTTCATTCTTGCCAATTTCATTACCCATTTTTCAATTCAATTTCAAGTTTAGCTTCCGTTTCAGTACACGTGCAAAACTACCCTTTAGTTCTGATGGTATTCGACTATTCGTAAAAGTGTATATAATCTACAAATATATCTCAACTGCTTTGTCCTTTCAGGGCTCATTGAATTAGTGAGCAAATTGATAATCTTCAGAAGATTAGTATAAAATTATACGAGGACCCAACTAATAATACGTATGAACAACATCCTAGGATACTACTTTGCACCATATATAACATGCGTACATACATTTCTATAACAACTACAAGACGAAATAAATACATCCACACGTCATCAAATTGCAAGATTAAGCGTTTCATCTAACAGCTTAACGCAACCAACCTAACACTTAGGGGGGGGGGAATATTAAGAACGTTACCAGAAACGGCAATGAAACTCGAGAATTGGTTCTGAGAGCCGATGAAAACTTCAAGTTCTCGGGAAAACAAAGGGATAAGCTACCTCCATGACCGCACGTCGCCAGATTCGACATCGCCCACATTTTCATCCGAGCGCGAGAAACAAGAAGAGGAGGAAGAAGAAGAAGAAGAAGACGACGACGACGACAATGTCTTGAAAAGAAAAATCCAGATCCCGACAATGACGGCTGAAAATGCAAGAGAGAGAAATTGTAGAGAGAGAAAGAGGTAGTTGGGAGGCGGAGACACCAAGAGAAAGACGGTGCCTCGCGGACCTCCCTTCTTTCTCTCTCTTAGTTAAGCCGAAAATTTGAAGACAAGTGGGCGACTTTGTGGCCGTCGCTTCCTCTCTCGTATTTTTTTTTTTTAATTTTATATTCAATTATTTTGTGAAGTGGTGGACCGTGGCCGTGAAATACTACCCGACGCCTCCGCGGGTATTTTGAAATGACAAAAATGCCATTGATTTTTGCCGCCACGTGAGAGAACATGCGGTAGTTCTGAACAGTACCTGTGTACTATACTAGCCAACTGTACCCACTTCAGAAAGACAATAGCTATGTAAAAGGCGGCGTGGCGTAGGGCAAACTCCAGTTAATGGCGGGGTTAGGCGGGCAGCCCGCCAGCCCCTAAATCCAACCGGTTTACGAGAGAAATTACTGAATTTTTTTTCTACAAGTAATAGAAATCACTGGTGATTCTATTCGTAAATTGAAAATAATTTTAATTTTATAATTTTAATTTATAAATTAAACGTAAATTATTAAATTAAAAAAATGTCATTTTTTATAATATTGAGTTCTGTAAATCTTTTACTTGATTTTTAATAAATAATAATTAATCTTGTTAAATCGTTACGTATGTCTAATGTATCAATTTCAATCGTGTAAAGTATTGATGCTTAATTGTTTATAAAAAAAAAATCACAAACTTTTAATGTATTAATTTTCAATCACATAAATTGATTGATTATTGAAATTTTATGATAAAATGATTTAGATACCCCATGTTATGGCAAAACATGCTTTTGATACTTTATATTTTTTATTATATCAAAGTGGTAGTTCGATGTTTTTAAAAACATAGCCTTAATACCATGAAGCTAACATATGACATAAAATGACCTTAGTACTATTCTATTTAATTAACTAAAAACTAATAAATATAGAGAAAAATATGAAACTTTTTTTACTTTCTTATTTTCTTTTAAATATTTTAATATTTTAAAATATATTCTTAGATTTTTTTTAAAAAATATTGATTTCTATATAATTTATAAAAAGGTAGTTTAGACATTACATGTCACAAAAAATCAGCTTCAAAGTACTAAGAAAATATTTTTAGAAATGTCGAGGTACCGTTTTAATACACTATGGCTTCGTTCATTTCACCGATTCGAGTTTTCAGTTCTAGGTTTCTACAGTTAAAAGCTTTTAAAAAATGTCACATCTAATTTTTTCTACTACAGTTAAAAGCTCTCAGAAAATGTCACATCTCAGCTCGAATTAAAAACTCGAATCCGCGAAGCAAACGAGGCCTAAGAAAAAAGATTTTTTGCGACCAAAATATTGGTTGCAGAAAGTATAGGATTTTCTGCTACCAAAAAATTAGTCGCAAAAACCACGTCGCAGAAAGTATTTGCGACCAAATTTGATTTTGCGACAAGATTTGATCACAAAAAGGCCTCAAGTTTTTGTGTTTGGTCGTACAGGAGTCACGTGAGGCAACAATTTGTGACCAAAAGTTTGGCCGCAAAAAGATTTTGGTCACTAAAAAATAGATTTTCTACAACCAAATTTAGGTCGCAAATTTCTTTTAGTCGCAAAACCATTTGTGACTAAATTTTTTTTAGGTAATCTTAACAAATACCCATTGAAAATGCATGGATTATAATTTGTACAATTTACTCTTCATTGATAACCTTTTTAGTCAAATAATTACACTAATAAAAAGGTATTTATCAAGAATAAGAGATAAAGATCCAGACTCATACACACTTAAAAGTAAATTCTCTATTTTTTTTTAAATTTTTTTGTCACAAAACCCTTTTGCGACCAAATCCGTTTGGTCGCAATAACTTTTTAAGACCAAAATTTTACAAGTTTGGTCGCAAATTCCTTTTTGGGCCATAATTATTTGATCACAAATGCCCTCTTTGTTTTAAAACACTTGATCTTAATATAGAGCAAATAGTTATTGTCAATTAAAACCCTCTTCTGGCTTTTATTACAATAACTATTCAAATATTCGCTAAATTAATTTACCAAATTTATCTCCTAATTTCATAAATACCTTATTAATTATTGATTTTATATCAACTTAGCTTCCCATTTCTAAAAAAAATATGGGACAACATGACACAAAATCAATAATTTTGGGGCCAACTTAACTTAGGTTTCATTTATTTTACAATTTAAATCACAATTCAAACCTTTTATTAGTGTTTTCTTCCACAAAAATTTAAATTCAACTTTTTGTGTTAAAGTGTTTTCTCTCATATAAATTCACTTTTCAACTCAAGTTCTAAACTTGAATATGCGAAATGAATGGGCCCAGACTTAATAATTTAAGAAGTATTTATGAATGTATAAATTGCGCAATTTCATTATTTTGTTAGTATTATAAAGTGAAAATGAAACAAATATCCATTAAAATGTGTAAGTCTTAGATTTTTTGTCCGTTACTCTTGATTAATATCCATTAGTCAAAGAACTATATTAGTAAAAATGGTATTAATTAAGAGTCAAGGATAAAAATCTTAGAATAATGCATTCAAATGATGAGTTCACCAATTTTCTCTATTATAAATTGAAGATGTATTTTGAAGTAGAATACATAATTGAAAGGCAAAATGTACTCTTTTCAAGATTCGGAAAAATTATTTTACGGACATTATACAATTTTATACTATCACATCTTACTTTTCTAAATCTTTTATGTTTTCTTCCCTTTAAAACTTTGTTCTATATACTCTACTACAAAATTCTTTTTTAAGTAATTGAATCAGTAACTTTAATAAAAATGAAAAGTTTTTACTAGATAATTATTTGAGTGTTTTGAACATCAAATTATATAAAATTTATAGAATATATAAATGAAAAAAGTATATTTTCCTTAAAACAAGAATAAAAATCCCATCAAAATGTGTATAATCCCTCACTATGGATAAAATCCCTTATACTAATACATGTTAAAAGGAAAAAAAAAAAAAAAAAAAAAGGAAAATGTGTGTGATCAAAACGAAAGGAAAAATTAGTTTAACACCCCCTCAATTATTTCAAGCAAATGACATATTTGTATGACTGTTATAAAGGCGTACTTAAAAAGGCTTTTGAAACTTACAACGTTGCCAAAACGATGTCCTTAAAATGAAATGGTGATTGTTCCATTGCAGTATATAATTGAAGCAGAAAAAGTTGCACAAAGTTATTCCTTCCATTTAATTTGTTCTCTTAATTGATTTGTTAAAGACATTCTAACCAGAAATCTTGTTGATCTTCAGATTTTTTGTTAGTGCTCATGAAACAGCACATAAAAGATTACCTTCCAATTTTTCTCCATGTCTTCATAGCTGGTGAATTTTTAAATTTTAAGTAGTCTCCAAATTTCATGTCCACTTCCGTCAAAAATAATATACATATATATATATATATATATATATCGTGTCCTCTAGCCATAATTGCAGCTGTTGCAAACTTTATTGCAATTTTTCACAGGCTTGATTGAAATGGCCGCCCAGAGATACCGGTGGATTTGCAATTTTGCATGGAGAGAAGATCATTGATCATCGATTTCCAGCATGTGATATATATATTTATATAAAATAATACAATTTGTATATAGAATTTTGAAGTATGGGCACTAAAAATACAGAAACGGAGGAAAGTTCTTAATAATAAAAGAAAAGACACGTTTTTTAAATTGAGTTTGAGATGGCAATAATTGGTGATGAAACAAAATTGACAGCCGACCTGCCAAAGTAAAGCCTCGCACATGTATTTTTCAGACCCAAAGACCTTGAGACAAATGTTTATACAATTACAAGATATTTGATGGAAGTACTACTACATTTTAGGCATGTTTGGGAAGGCTTTTTAAAAGCTGCTTGGTGTTAAAGTTATAAAATGTGGCTTAAAAAAAGAGTACTTCTAAATAGACATTAAAATTTGTACCATAATTTTTTTAAGACACTGTAAATTTCATTCTAACATTTTTATTACATATTAGAAAATTTAAAAATTGTTTTGACCCATGATCTTTTATTCCAAATACTTATGAAAAAGTCACAATTTTTATTTTTCTTTTTCTACTGATTAAAAGTAAAAACAAAAATTTTGTTAATATAAAACACTCAGAGATCTTAAACGTGAAATTTGTACTGACTGTTTAGAACTCAATTTAAAATGTTCAGAACCACGTTCCAAATATCCTTACAATTAACTCATTTAGTAGGGTTGAAGTGATGCATTTCTCATCAAGAAATAAGAGTTTAATAGTAAGATACTAAGATTTTCAAAGAACATTTCTATCGCCATACGGTGAATCCTTTTGATGCAACAAAAGGAGAATATGTTAACTTCAGTCATTCTTTTTCGGACTTCATAAAAGTTTTAACTTGTGTAAATTTATCGGTCACACAAACTTTCAATATATATATATATATATATATATTCCCTCCCCCATTATTGTAAATGATTAGATAGGCAAGAACAACAAAATCTAAACAAATATCCTTTTTCCTCACTTTTTCAACACGATTGAGACACCATTCAAAATTACAAAAGGAAGCATAAAGTAGAAAGGTAGCATGGCCTTTTCTTGCCCGATTCAACATTTCATTTACTTTTTTTTATATTTTAACCAAAAAAAAAAAGTTACAGTAATACTTTATTGATTTCCATCGCTATCAACCTGTCTGATCTTAAATAAATAACCCTATATTAGGCCCTATCTTTCCTTCTTTTTTATTTATTTATTTATTTTTGTTCCTTAAGCACAAGTATGGAAATTAAGGATAAGTTTACGTGATTGTTTGATATCCGTCAGATTTGAAATACCCGTAGCCACCCTTTTATAAGAGTGGATTATGACTAGCCTGCAATTATTATTAAGCCACGCAATTTTATGATCGTCAAAGGCTGATGGGGTTTCAATTTGGTGAGGGAATGCGCATCTGCTTACTTACAAACTAGTTTCATTGTTTCAAAAATTAAAAAGCACCATTATGACTAGCATTAGTAAATTATTTGCTATTTAACATGTTATTTGTGGAAAACGGTTGTGAGCTTTCTAAAACCCAAATGTTCTTTTTAATAGTAGATTTCCAATTTCCGTTTTCCCCATCAACTTTGGTCCTTTTAGAACAACT